AATTTGGAACCATGACATTTATAAATGTACGAATAACATGTAGAAAATCTGCCTTTTAAAAATAAACCCCTATTTTCTTCCCCTTCTGTAAGGCTAAATAAGGCAAAATATTGCTGTAATTTTTGACTGTGTAACTTTACCAACAGCACACCATAGTGAGTGGTATAGCAGGGCTTTAATTCTAATACATGTTTATTTAAAAAAATAAAATGCAATAAAAGTGATTGTGTCTGTAAAACTCAGTATTTCTTGTGTAGATGAGTCTGAATGTTTAAAGATAAAACTATCAGCTTTAATCTCCTTTTCTCAAAGATTTCATGCTGAGCATGAGGAGCAGGACTGTCCTGATTCTGTATCTCAGCTTTTACAGGAGCTTGTTAGAAAATTGGACACGTAGATCTACAAGATATCGTCTTTCCAAACCCCACACTCCTCCTGGGGTTGGGAGTGGGGGATGCTCTTAGTGTAACCCTGAAAACTGAATCCCTTCTCCTCTTGTGTTCGATCTGTGAGAGCGCTCTCTGCTCTCTGAGCTTCTGCTGCCTGAAAACCTGCCCTGAATTATTAGAAAGAGGATTTCTGTTCATTTGGATCTTCTGGCTTCAGCTAAACTATTTTTTTATTAATAAAAGTGATGATGAAGGCAGAGCTGCTGCAGAACATAATAAATGTCTCCAGTAAACATGCCTGATGCCAGAACTTCTACCAGCTCTGAACAAAGAAGTTAAAAAAGTTCCTACCATGCTGAAAGGCTGAGGACGGGTCAGACAGCCAGCTCCTGCWCACATGAAGGAAGACAGAGAGGATTATGGGATCTCATTACAACCATCTGAAGTCTGCAGTCACAGCTGAGGAGGCAGGAGAATCTGACAGGAAGAGACTTCTCCTCCAGATAAATGACTTTTTTTCATGTTTGACTCAGAAAAAGACGTGTTTGAGTTCTGATCTTTCTGTGTGAGTCTTTGTTTGGGCCTGAGCTTGTCCCTCAGCCAGTCTGACACGTTTCCTATTTACTGCGACACAACAAGGACTTTTCTGTCCTGCCAGCTTGTTATGTTCTGTAAATCAATCAGCTCTGCAGAAACTGAGAACTGGCCCGTTCAGACTGCAAACAGATGAGGCCCGACTCCGTCAGGACACTGAAGACGCTCTGCAGACAAACTAGTTTCACTTCTACCCAAATCAAACTGTGTGTTTGATATTTTCAGCTACAATCAGTTCAACTTCACAACCTGACGTTAGAATTAGGGCTGTGAAATAATCGAGTTAACKCTGATTAATTTTAGTGCTGCATGGGCACACATTAAAAATTGTAATCATTTGACAGCCCTAGCTAGAATACCTGGTCTCCTCAGCCCACCTGCATGCCCACTCTCCACCACTGCTCTTTCCCTCTGTCRTGGTCTGGGTTTATTTTCTTTAACTTTCTAGTGTTTTTAATGTTCTCCTGTGTTGCTCTGCCCTACAGCCCCGCCCACGCACACCTGATCCCCCTTGTGTCTCCCCAGGTGTTTCCGATTGTCTCCTAATTTGTCTCTTRATTTGCCTTTACATTTAGTGTCTTGTCCTCAGTCTGGGTCCGTTCGTTGTGCTGTTTACCCAGCCAGTGTGGTGTGTTCCTTGTGTTTCCCTGAGAAGTTATCAGTGAGTTTTTGAGCTGCTTTTCAGCCCTCTTCTGTCTGTTAAACTTTATTTTTCTCTTTGGATTTTTGCCTGCGCCGTGGGTCATTCTGCCTCGCACCTCACAACCTCATGTTTTACTAGTTTATTTAGTAAAAACTTGTATTAAACTGCCTTTTCTGTCTGTTTGTGGAGTAATCTGATTTAAAATAAACACAAGTTAACTCACAAACTTTGGTTTGTTTTTAGAAAAAAWTCAAGTAAAACATCTAAAAAGCCCTCGATGAGGACGACCAAACAGCAGAACTGATCCAGTCCTACAGTCTTCAAGCTGGCCCAGAGTTATATGCACACAAAATAAAAGTTTTTAAAGAAAACTCCTGGATTTTTAGCAGGTTTGAGGGCAGTGATGTTTGAATTGTTGTCATTTTGAAAGAGAAAAGTGTGTAAATTAAAGCTCTTCACCTTGCTGTGACATTACACCAACAAGAGACAGGTTTGTCCTCACACACTCCTGCACACTGCACTGGTTGATGTGGAGCACTGCCACAGTCTCAGTGTTAAAACAACTCAGGCTTTTTGTGGCCTTTCTTTCCACAGCAGCTGCCAGCAATAATCCTCCGAAAGGAAAACGATCAATCCTCTTCAAATCCACTTTTAAAGGGTGTCTGCTTGTTCGTCTCCGGACACTAATCACCAGCTTCATCCACCGAAATACCCGTTTAACCCTCCAGCTGATCCGCAGGAGTATTCAGCTCATAAATAACCCCCAGCTTCTCCTTTAGAAAGCACAACAAAGATTAACTTTTAATTTAGAAAAGAGGTCACAGAGCAGGAAGACTGATCCAACTAGAGGAACATTGTGTTAGCAGCGTGTTTCATGAAACGTTGCACAGATTTCKGTGAAAGAACTGATGGAGTCGATGCGATTAAAGATGGCTGCAGCGCTGTCAGTTTAAGCTAAAATGTGGTGTAGAAGTGGCAGGAAACCACCAGTTCCATTCCTAAAACAGTAGGGTTTTATTTTATGGAGTTCCATTTGCGCCAAAAATATGTTGTTGAGCCTTTGTCCATGTTCTTAAACTAACACGAGGTATGAGAACATGGACAAAGGCTCAACAACWTATTTTTGGCACAAATGGAACTCCAWAAACGTCCAGCAGGTAAATTAAATAAAACCAGAGGCAGATTTGACCTCTCATTGTGTTAAAGGGTAATTATAGCCGGTCTGTGTCTTTGGGCTTAACGTTGATCCRTCCTGGTTCGGCATGTTACCGGTTCCTGTCCGTGTAAAAGAAGAAGGCCTCACTTCAAGGACAATGCTTCTGTATATAAAGAGACAAGTGTCTTGTTGCAGGAGGACAGTCCTGCTCTGTGACGAGCTGCTGCCAGAATCTTAGGAAAACTTTCCGTTCCTGCTCCGGTGCAGTCAATCAGTGAGTAGATTGTGTTTTTTAATATGTTTGAATTTACCGATGAGACACTGAAGGAGATGTTTGGTTTCAGGAGGGATAGAAAATGAGTGCTGATGGGGAAATGGTGATTTTCGGGCCTGCAGCCCAGTACCTCCGTAAGTCTGAGAAGGAGCGAACAGAGGCCCAGAACCACCCGTTTGACAGCAAGACGGCCTGCTTCGTAAGTGACGAGAAAGAGCTGTACGTGAAGGCCAAGGTGCAGGACAGAGCTGAGGGCAAAGTCACAGTGAAGACCATCGATGACAGAGTGAGCGTCTTTTATTTCTGGAGTAAACATAGTTAGTTTCACTTTATACAGATGTTTAAATGTGTTTCTACAGACTGTGGTGGTCAGGGAGGACCAGGTGTTTCCCATGAACCCCCCTAAGTTTGATAAGATTGAAGACATGGTGATGATGACACACCTGCATGAACCTGCGGTGCTTTTCAACCTGAAGGAGCGATACGCAGCATGGATGATCTATGTGAGTCTGTCAGAGTTGAATTACTTTATTATAAGGTTTACTAATTAAACTATACATTAATGAGAAAAGAGCCTTAGCTAAAAGTACGTAGTATACTTGAAGTACATTTTAATAAGTCTACCTGAGTATAAGTTTAAGTATTTCAAGTATACTAGGCACCATATACTTGTAGTGTACTAGAAAGTTTACTGAATTAATACTTGTTCATACTAAAATGGGAGTTTTTTAGTTTATAAAAAGTATACATTAAGTATAGCAAAAAAGTAGTATACTTGTTCATTTTAATAAATACACTTGAGTACAACTTGAAGTATATCAAGTATATTAGGCACAATGTACTTGTAGTGTACTAGAAAAATACTGATATAATACTCCTTTGTGCTTTTTTGTTGTTTATAAAAAGTATACCGCAAGTATACTGTTATGTCTTTTTAAGTTTATAAACTTACCAAAAAGAATTATACTTTAAGTACATGTCATTAAATATACTAAAGTATATATAAGTGTATTTCCCTAAGTGTACTTTTATTTACCACGTACACTGGTAGAAGTATACTAGCAGTTTACTAACAAGTATACTTCCAGGACTAAATTGGCCCACAAGACGTTTATGAAAGTATACTCAGAAGTACACTGAAAGTAATTTTCTAAGTACACTTTTAGTTCAATTTTGAAATATTCTACAAATAAACCAGTCTGTGTGAAAATGTACTTTCAGTGTACTACTAAAGCTTATCTTGGCCAGAACTTGAAACATTAGTATAAACTCAGTATACTTAAACATTTACTGTAGTATGTTTTTAATACAAGCCAAGTATAGTGTAAGATAAACTTGGTGAAGTATATCTCAGATAAGTACATAAAAACTGGAAGTATAGTCTTTTTTAAGTTTAAAATTAGTATACTTAATGGATATTTACTAGGGGTGCAACAATACATGTACCCACATCGAACCATATAGAACAGTGCTTTAGGTTCAATACACACTTGTATGGAACAATACAGATTTTTAAAATTGACTTTATGAACTTGTCTTCTGAAGATGCTCTGTGTTGAAGGATCAGTGGATCTGTGTTCGACTACTCCACCTAGGCTGCATTTTTGAGCACAGATCCACTGAGAAACTTGCTGTTTCAGCAATATTTAATTTAAAATCTGTACTTTTGAGGTTAAACAAATGTTCATAATTAATTTAAATAAATTACAAGTTAAAAAGGTCATGGACATTTCTCTTTTTTGTACTGAAAAAAATATCGAACCCTGAGACTAAAGTATCGAACCGAACCGAACCAAATCGTGAATTTTTTGTATCTTTGCACCCCTAATATTTCCTACTTTTTGCTAAGGGAGGCTGAAAATGGTCAACCAGTTGAAGCAACATAAAACACTGAGTTTGTGTTTTCCTTGCAGACCTACTCTGGACTCTTCTGTGTCACCGTTAATCCTTACAAATGGCTGCCGGTTTACAACCCAGAAGTGGTCCAGGCCTATAGGGGGAAGAAGAGGATGGAGGTCCCCCCTCACATCTTCGCCCTATCTGACAATGCCTACCAGTTCATGCTGACAGGTACTGCAGCTAGAAAAACCGGAGCGAATAAAAATCTCTTTTCTCTTCCATCTTTATTTGACTCGCCTGCTCTCTGTCCTCAGATCGAGAGAATCAGTCGATTCTCATCACGTAAGTTCATGAATCACGATTCTGAGAATCTCAGATAGCGAAATGAGTCTGAGTGTTTGGGTTTTCCTCAGCGGAGAATCTGGCGCCGGTAAAACCGTCAACACCAAACGGGTCATTCAGTATTTCGCAACCATCGCGGTTCCCACTGACAAGAAGAAAGAGGCCAACGGCAAAATCAAGGTCGCACTCACAGAGTCCATCGTTCGTGTGTAAAAATGTAGACGGAGTTAAATTTCCATGTTGGTTCTTCCTCAGGGGACTCTGGAGGATCAGATCATCCAGGCCAACCCACTGCTGGAGGCGTTCGGGAATGCCAAGACTGTGAGGAATGACAACTCGTCTCGTTTCGTGAGTCTCATTAACCAGGATGAACCTTGGCCCCACATGGGGCACCAAAATGAAGTGGTGTATTCTTTAACCATTTAGCAAAAAAGATTAAAGACTCAACTCCAAGGTGACAACAAACAAAGGCTTTATTCTAACTGGCACATCAGTGGAACAGTCTTCACTCCTAAAAAATCCAAAGTCTTACAGTTTCTAAGACCTATTGATGTGTGTTTATTGCAGCATCAAAACCCTGTTCTGATGCTCAAACTGCATTGACGATGGTACAAGAAATTCCTGGGGAATAGAAACAGAACAGTTGTCTTTCTCTAAACAAAACTTTGGTCAAATCAATCCAATAAGTCACTTCATGTTTTACATAATGAGTGGACTGCATGCAACATATTTCCTGGAATAAAATCAAATCATTCAGAGTTATTTATCAAAAATGCTTTCTACTGCATAAAACAGCATTGGTAATTTTCTATTTCTTTTAACTTCTTTTAACTTCTATTAACCTACGATCTGTAAGTTGAACCTGAGCATGTTTGGTATCAATAGAAACCTAAGAATCTTGGCTAAAAGTTCATGGAAACTATATTTACATTTACGAAACACAGTTCAAATGACAGGCTTGAATCAGAAAGTACACAAACTGTGTTGCAAATCTGTAAAAAACATTACAACAAATCTGTAAAGGAAAAGAATTTGGCATTTGTTTTTGAAGCAAGTCAAAGCAGATACCAAAATATGTAATAAAGTGTGCTGAAAGTCTTTTTTTAACTTGATTTTGAGTGAATATGGTCCAACTGAAGTCAAATATAATTTTCCATTGTTTTATATAACATATATGGTGACAAAATAAATGTTGGATAATTTTTCAAAAGAACAATCATTCAATAACAAGTCGTTTAAAGGCAGGTAAGAAAAAATAAAAAACTTCTGGGTGTAAAAACTTCAGATTTCTTAACATTTATTAATGGTACCATCATGTTCTGTCCTGTGCAGAACAACAAAACACTATATTATTTCTTTGATAAAACCTCTGTAACTTTACTCTAGTTAATTTTAGCAGCATGAATCTTTGCACAGGTAATGTACACAAGTGGATTTATGATTTCGAAGAGTTTTAGCCGGATTCATTATGGTTTTAAATAGGTAATGTACTGTCTAATGAAAACATTATTCAGACGGGAGGGAAAATATGTTCCATCCTCAATATCTCTAAAACCACAACATCTGTTTTAATACTTACACTTTTGATGAAACCTCTCAAGTGTTGCTTTATTTTGATACCAAGATTATTCATGTAGAGTTTGTAAATGCTGAGATACACTCAGTTACATTTCAGCATGGTATTTTGAGCAAAAACCTCAAGAAAACCCCTTGGAGCTGAAGGTTAAACAGGAATTTTTACTTTTTTCTCATTCCAGGGTAAATTTATCAGAATCCACTTCGGTGCGACCGGTAAACTGGCCTCTGCCGACATCGAAACCTGTAAGTTTGTATTGAAAGATACTGAACGTAAACCAGGCTGCTTTACTTCAGCTTTGATTTGCTGCTAGATCTGCTGGAAAAATCCCGTGTGACCTTCCAGCTGGCAGCTGAGCGAAGTTATCATATCTTTTATCAGCTCACCTGCAACAAGAAGCCGGAACTTATCGGTAAACCTGGTTTTATTAGAAGACTTACTTCAATGACAGTTAGTTAACTGTAGCTTCTGTTCTTCAGATATGCTCCTCATCACCACCAACCCCTTTGACTTCGCCTTCATCAGTCAGGGAGAAATCAGCGTGACGAGCATCAACGACGCCGAGGAGCTGCTGGCTACAGACGTGAGTCCAAACAGGAAGTCAAAGCCTCACGAGTCAGAAGCACTACATGTGGTTTCTGTTTTATTTTTTAACACAGGAGGCGTTTGATATTCTGGGCTTCTCAGCTGAGGAGAAAACGTCTGCCTACAAGCTGACTGGCGCCGTGATGCATTATGGGAACATGAAGTTCAAACAGAAGCAGCGGGAGGAGCAGGCCGAGCCCGACGGCACTGAGGGTGAGGACGCTCAACGGGAGTGTAGAGTTTAAAAAACAGAGATAAAAATAAATGTGTTTGTTTGTTTACAGAGGCTGATAAAGCTGCGTATCTGATGGGCCTGAACTCTGCAGACCTGCTGAAGAACCTGTGTTATCCCAGAGTGAAGGTTGGAAATGAGTTTGTTACCAAAGGACAAAATGTTCAGCAGGTAAAGAACATTAAAGTGTCCCTCCAGAACATGTCACATTCTCAAACATTTATTTTTTCTCTGACTGGTGTAGTTTGAGTTTATTTTCACAAATAAACAACAAAGAATAAATAAAACACCTGAGGACAGATGTGCCCATTGTTCTTACAGGTTTACAACTCCATCGGCGCTCTGGCAAAATCTGTGTATGAGAAGATGTTCCTGTGGATGGTTCTACGAATCAACCAGCAACTCGACACCAAACAACCCAGACAGCATTTTATTGGAGTTCTGGACATCGCTGGCTTTGAGATCTTTGATGTAGGTCTTGATTTAAACACCTCAGTTTACTGAAGTTTAAGAGTTTGTTTTTTAAAAATGTATTTATTTGTTGTGTTTAGTACAACAGCATGGAGCAGCTTTGCATTAACTTCACTAACGAGAAGCTGCAGCAGTTTTTCAACCATCACATGTTCGTCCTGGAGCAAGAGGAGTACAAGAAGGAAGGGATCGAGTGGGAGTTCATTGACTTTGGCATGGACCTGGCCGCCTGCATCGAACTCATCGAAAAGGTAAAACCAAACCTCATCCGTCGACCAAAACAACTCCCGGTCTTTTTGTAAACAGCTCGGTTATTTTCCAAGCCCATGGGAATCTTCTCCATCCTGGAAGAGGAATGCATGTTCCCCAAATCCACAGACGCGTCCTTCAAAAACAAGCTGTACGACCAACATCTGGGCAAGAACAGCTGCTTCCTGAAGCCCAAAGTGGTGAAGGGGAAGCCCGAGGCCCACTTCACGTTGGTGCACTATGCCGGCAACGTGGACTACAATATCACCGGCTGGCTGGTGAAGAACAAAGACCCCCTGAATGAATCAGTGGTCCAACTTTACCAGAAGTCTTCAAACAAAACACTGGCCATGCTGTATGCAAGCTTCTCTGGAACAGACGGTAGGTTGGTTCAACCTTTTGTTCATTTATTTTCATCATGTTTGCTTATTATAAGCTTTTATTGCAGAGGCAGCTGGAGGAGGAAGCAAAAAGGGCTCAAAGAAGAAGGGAGCATCTTTCCAAACAGTGTCAGCTCTGTTCAGGGTAAGAGAAAATAATAATAAAAATGATACCAATGAGAACTCTATGAAGAACATGAGAGGTCATTTTACCAATGCATTCTCATGCCCCCCGCGTCAACGTATTGACGCTTGGTCAGGTCTGCGTCAACTTTCAGACGTGCCGAGTAGCCCCCGCATGTCCGTTCTTTACGAGCGCATTGTCATATTTTTCTACAAGAGTAGGAAATGTGCAAAATCAACCATCCCAGACCCTAAATTTAACTTCTATTAGCCTTATACAGCCCATCTCTTACCACAGACTYTAAAATTAACCATTAACCCTGATCCCTCATTTTAACCATTTTTTAAATGCAGAGAATTCACGAGAACTAACCATCCCAGACCCTAAATTTAACCTATATTAGCTATATATAGCCTATCCCTGACCCCAGTATCTCAAATTAACCATTAATCCTGATCCCTCACATTAACCTCAGACCCCCGACTCAAAGACTCCTAAGTGACGCAACCTGGAAAAGCTGCGAGCGGCAATGACGAGTGCGCGAGGGTACCCGACGCATCAAAACTGAATGCAGACGGTCCCTACCCAAGCGTCAATATGTTGACGAGTCCAACATGAGAATGTATTAATTTTACCATCCAGGAGAACCTTGGGAAGCTCATGACCAACCTGAGAACCACTCATCCTCACTTTGTTCGCTGCTTGATACCAAACGAGACCAAAACCCCAGGTAGTCCCTGTAGATAAGAACACTTTTATCCCTGAAGGACATACAGAAACTATCCTCACCTCTGATGCAGGAACGATGGAGAACTCTCTGGTCATCCACCAGCTTCGATGTAACGGTGTGCTGGAAGGAATCCGGATCTGCAGGAAAGGATTCCCCAGCAGAATCCTTTACGGGGACTTCAAGCAGAGGTAAAGAAACTTTAACTCTTCGACGTTTTGTCAGGTCTGCTTTCATCCTCAGATGTGAGACCCCGCCCCCTCAGGTACAGGATTCTTAACGCCAGCGCCGTGCCTGAAGGACAGTTCATGGACAACAAGAAGGCTGCGGAGAAGCTGCTGAACTCCATCGACGTGGATCACACCCAGTACAAGTTTGGACACACAAAGGTCTTTATTTGTTGGTCAGCTGCTGTAAATACGTCTGCTGGAGCACCTTTAGTGAAGCAGTGAATCGTTTCAGGTGTTCTTTAAAGCCGGCCTGCTGGGGGCTCTGGAGGAGATGAGGGACGAGCGGTTAGCTCAGGTGGTCATGTCCACTCAGGCTCTGTGTCGCGGTTACCTCGTCCGCCTGGAGTACCAGAAGATGGTGGCCAGAAAGTAAAACAATTAAGCGTGAAACTGTATTTATTCAGTGGTGTGATGTAAGGAGCAACATGAATGCTTTGCTCCTGCAGGGAGGCCATCTACACGCTCCAGTATAATCTCCGCTCCTTTATGAACGTCAAACACTGGCCCTGGATGAAGCTCTACTTCAAGCTGAAGCCTCTTCTGAAGAGCGCCGAGGCCGAGAAGGAGATGGCCCAGATGAAGGTGGATTTCACCAAACTCAAGGAGGACCTGGCCAAATCCGAGAACCGGCGGAGGGAGCTGGAGGAGAAGATGGTCTCCATCATTCAAGAGAAAAACGATCTCCTGCTTCAAGTCCAGGCGGTAGGTTGAAGCACAACACAGATGTCATGAAGCATCTCAGTAATCCAGGTAGAAAAAAAAATCAAAAAGAAAAAATCAGTAGGTCCTCTGGATGGTTCTTCTTTAGTGAAAAGTTTTGTCTCTCCTCCAAGAGACTTCTTCAGTCTGATAAGTTTCAGGTGAACTCAGACTTATAAGCTCCGCCTCCACATGGACAAACAGGTTAGTCACATGCAAAAGAGGGCCATCGACTAACAATAGGCTTGATTAGCTCTATTTAGTCATATGCAAAAGAGGGCCATCGACTAACAATAGGCTTGATTAGCTCTATTGTTCATAGTCATGTGCCCCATCACCTGACCCGTGTCATTTTATGTGAATATAGTGAATGCAAGCGGGGGTTCAACATCCCTTGTTTTTGCCTCGCTTTCCCTCTTTGTGTTGGAATCATTGGGGCCCTGATTCATACCTTTTGCTCACAGAATCAGGGCCCCAATGATTCCAACACAAAGAGAGAAAGAGAGACAAAAACAAGGGATGTTGAACCCCCGCTTGCATTCACTATTCACATAACACGACACGGGTCAGATGATGGGGCACATGACTATGAACAATAGAGCTAATCAAGCCTATTGTTAGGCGATGGCCCTATTTTGCATGTGACTAACCTGTTTGTCCATGTGGAGGCGGAGCTTATAAGGCTGAGTTCACCTGAAACTCAGACTGAAGAAGTCTCTTGGAGGAGAGACGAAACATTTCACTAAAGAAGAACCATCCAGAGGACCTACTGATTTTTTCTTTTTGATTTTTTTTCACAACACAGAGGCACTAACTTCATTCTGTTTTCAGGAAGCCGACAACCTCCTCGATGCAGAGGAGAGGTGTGAAGGGCTCATCAAAAGCAAGATCCAGCTGGAGGCCAAGCTGAAGGAGGTGACAGAGAGGCTGGAGGACGAGGAGGAGGTGAACGCTGAGCTGACCGCCAAGAAGAGGAAACTGGAGGACGAGTGCGCCGAGCTGAAGCGGGACATCGACGACGTGGAGCTGACGTTGGCCAAAGTGGAGAAGGAGAAACACGCTGTGGAAAACAAGGTGAGACAGAAAACCTCTGCTGCCTGGAGCTGCTGGAGGACAATCGCTTCATTGTTTCTCCAAACCCGTGACTTCAGGTGAAGAAWCTGACTGAGGAGATCTTGAGTCAAGACGAAAACATCTCCAAACTGTCCAAAGAGAAGAAAGCTCTGCAGGAGGCCCACCAGCAGCTGCTGGACGACCTGCAGTCGGAGGAGGACAAAACAAACTCTCTGACCAAAGCTAGAACCAAACTGGAGCAGCAGGTGGACGAGGTGAGTCACTCAGAGCCCAGCAGAGGTCAGGTCAGGACGCAGGTGTTCATCACAGTTTAATGTTGCAGCTGGAGGGGGCGCTGGAACAAGAGAAGAAGGTCCGCATGGACCTGGAGAGAGCCAAGAGGAAGCTGGAGGGGGACCTGAAACTGGGCCAGGAGTCCATCATGGATCTGGAGAATGAGAAGCAGCAGCTGGATGAAAAACTGAAGAAGTAAGAAGGAAGTGTTCTGAGCATAATGCATTAGCATTAGCTTCCTTCACCTGGAGGCAAATCAGATTTTATTTATTTTAAAAAGGTTATAAATGTAAAAGAAAATGAAGTCTTTCTGCCTTTAACTGTGTTTTTAGATGTTTCAGATGATATGAAATCAGATCAGCTGATAATAATTCATCTTATAAACTGCAGATTCACTCACCTGTTGGAAATCTTGACCTGAAATAACAAACTGAAAAAAGATGATCATCGAGTTTTGCTTGGTTTGACAGGAAAGATTTTGAGCTGTCACAACTGCAGACCAAGATAGAAGATGAACAATCTCTCAGTGCTCAGCTTCAGAAGAAGATCAAAGAGCTTCAGGTGAGGAGGAACCAGTTCAACACATTTTCTGGACATCATCTTCTATCATATGTGACCCATCATATGGAAATGAGTATTAGGTCAACATTGATCAAAATAACCTAAGTACATATTCAGATTCCTGCTTTAAAAGCTACATTTTGATACCTGGATCATTCTGATATCATAAAAGGAACCAGAGACATGATATAATTTGTCTTGTTGGTTATGATAATACATTACTGTTTGGTCTAAACCCTAATTTTATGTAAATTTATTGAGTAATTTTTGATATAAATATAAAGAGGAAACCTCCAATATTATTTTTATATTAAGATTTCCCAGTTCGAAAGAAATAAAAACTTTGCTAGCTCGCAGGTAAAAATTCTAAATTTTAAGGTGTTTTTCCTCAAAATCAGGTTTTTTGTTGCTGCTGCTTAAAAAATGCTTCAAAATGTTTTTATAGGAAAATATTTCAGACAGTTCATTCAAATGATACATTGATAAGACATTAATTCATTATATTTTGACAAAATGCAATTTTTGCACACATTTAAATGAAAACCCTATACCTGCCTATTTCTCCACATTCCACTTTTGGACTTTCTGTATTTATTCAAGTATAATACATAAAATTAAATCCATAAAATCATCCATAAAGTTGGGGGGTAGTACTATACTCGGATAAATATTTTTATTTATGCATATTAACTGAAATATCGGCTTCATTCACAAAATTATTGAGTCCAGAAATGAGACCGCGTTGTAAAAAACAATTGAAGCGAGCTCACCTCTGACACTCCTCTGTGCTTCAGAGTGAGATAATAACAGATCCAGGCAGGAGACATGATGTGAAAGAAAGAGTGGGGGAATATTCCCTGCACCTTAGTAATGATAACGAACTAATGACATTAGTGTGTGACCGGGCCGCTCCTCGAACAACAACAAACACATGTTCGTCTGTAATGGCTGCMGTCTACCAGTGTTCTGAAAATGTTTGTATCCCTGAAAAAATGTTTCCCCACCAGAGGGGGCGCTCGCGAGTAGGAAGTAATCTGCTTTTCCCCCAGAAGATGTGAGGTTTTAGTAGGTACAGACCCAGAGCGCAGGCAAAAATCAAAGGTGCAACAAAAAGGTTTATTATAATAACAAAAAGAGGGCTGAAGACAGCAAAAACATACAGATAAGTGCTTCTCAGGAGGAACAGACAGAACACCACACAGGCTGAGGGGAAACAGCACAATGGACCGACACAAGACTGAGACAGGACAGGACTTAAATACACTGAAAACTAATGAATGAACAGAAAACACCTGGTGAGAAACATGAGGGTGACAATCAGGCTAATGTGGGGCAGCTGGGCTGAGACACACAGGGGAACATAGAAACACTAGGAAAACCAAGGTGGAAAATGATAGTGATGGGCAGTTTGAAGCTGAAGCTTCGGCGCATGTATTAAAAAAAACAACACACTGTTTCAGAAGCACTGTGTCGGAGCTTGATTCGTTTGGTAAAAGTCACGTGATCAGTGACGTCCGAAGCTTCGAAAGTGGTGAACTTACGTCACTGCTTTGGTACCTGATTCAAAGAAGTGAATCATTGGCTGGATTCGTGGTGTGTTTTGATGGCAAATGCGCAAAATATAACAAACCAGTGAAGGACTTATTGTGAGACGCAGAGGCAAACAAACATATGTGTTTAGTTTGTTGTGCAGTTTATAAACCTGGGCCAGATAGAGTGGGGGTCACA